AGCGTTTAAATAAAAGCTTATTTTTAGTTTTTTATAATTTAAGAACAGGGCAGAGCCGTTAATTATATGATTATTGTGGTAACGAGTATTAAAATGAAATAATTTACTTTATTAATTTAATTGAGATTTTATATTATGTTGTTCATTTACTAATGCTTAAACTTTTATTTGATGTATCGGCATTTTATTTATTATTTTATTTCGGTGGATATTTGAAGAAGTATTATTTTTATACTTGTTGAATATTAGCCCAGGTTTGCAAGAGTACAATTTACATGTATATTGCATATTAACACAGATTATGTAGATAATAGTATGAAGCAGTTGTGAAATTATAGTTACAAGGACTTATTATTAGAAAAATGCATAATAGTTTTTCTTTTATTTCGGAAAACGTTTAGCTGCATTTGGAATGTAACACGGAGCTATAGTTTCTGTATCCAGAATTGTAAAAACAAAAGTGTCGCGGCCTCTCTGTATCCCTGTTGCATCTGGCATACACGTGCAGTAATAAAACAACCTTTACAAACTTCGCAAAAAATATGAAATATGGGACAGTGATGTTTCATTAGCGATTTGCTGATAATAACGGAATTTATTTCATTTACTTTCTCCCGTTTATAACTGATTTTCTAAACCAGCATATTGTTATCACGTTTTGTGAAAATAAATTGAATTAAGCGCAGTGCTCAAAATATTATTTATTTAGTTTTTATGAAGAGTTGTATGTGTTTTTTTGCAAAAATATGTGTATTAAAGTAGTTTATTTGTTATTTTTATTCAACAGTCCACTTTTCCTGTAGTATATTCAGGACTTGTTTTAGCTGTATAAAGCAATGGGCCACAAATCCAAACCATGATAGTAGGTAATCCAAAATAGCTTCGTTACGTACTTTATTAAGATATTTTTGATTTAAATTATTAATTAATGTTTGGTTTACTCAGTATTATATATGGAAAAAGAAAGCAGCTATCGAGACGAATGAATTTCTCTTTCATGATTGATGCATCATGATAAAATAATATCGGTACAAAAGCCCTGAAAATTTCCAACAACTTAAGTTACATTCATCAAACAATAGCATAGAATCCGAACTATAACTCAAACTAGCGATAAAAATAAATCCATAAATCTTTCAGACCACATCGATATCTCGCTCGATACGTCTCCTTCACTATCCAGGCCACAAATCTTTGCGCGTATAACTTAACTACACATATAAACAAAGCGCACTGACTTTGCATCTCTGTCTTACAATGATTTATCGGTTGGTCGATGCTTGTCAATAATAGTTCTGAGCAAATCTGTTCACGTTAGAAATTCGTTGCTATTGTGAAGCAACAGGCGCTTAAGTAAATTTCTTGTTTTTATTATTTCCTTATGGGTAGGGCAGATGACCCGGTGACTACCTTTTGGCCATTTAGTACTTTAAGACGTTCTAGCTTATATGTAGGAAAAAAATACGGTATGCGGTCTTTAAAATGTTGGATTATGGCAAAGCTAATACCGTTCCCATCTGTGATTTATAAAAGTTCATTTCTTTCTTACTTTTCAAACGGCTAAAATACAGTTAAGGATTTTATAGGAGTAATTACAATACATATGTTGATTTCAAAACGTCAATAAAACTAAATACAAACGCTGAATGAAACCGTTTAAAAGTTGTTTTATTTAGGTACAATATCTATATTATTACAAAATCAAGGATTCAATGACTATACTCACTCATGTTATAAACTAATATCGGTAAATTTCTTATATTTTCACGTTCACTATTCATAAATGAAACAACTTTTAAACCGTTTAAAGTTGTTCCATATAGGTACTTATATCGATAGGTTAAACATAAGCTATACGCGTGGTATACACTATAATAAATAATGTGAGATATTGCATTTTTCACATTCATATTACATATTTTCAATTATCTTGTGGCATTTATTTTTGTACCTTTGCATGGACATTTACAATATTACCTGGGTCTACTTCCACTGAGTTGGTTCTGTAAATAATTGCACAGCAAATTTATCGCCTTCAGGTGCTCGCAAACAGTGCTATTTTGGTTCGTACGTGATCCCCACACGTGGGGGGTAATCTGCTTCGGATGTGGGTTTTGTTAAGTGGATCTTGGGGTTTGGCGGTTGGGACGTGCCTTAACGTGTTTGCAGGTTTCTTGGTTAAAAAGGAGACACTCTGAGAAACAATTATGGTGCGATCGCTATATGATCTCAATGCAAGGTTTTGCAATTAGTGGTAGTTATTACGGTGCCAATTTTGTTGTACCCAATGATAGTATATTGTAACAATCTCTTAATTTAAAATTAACTAAATTTAAATGTGTAGTTTTAGCCGTTTCTAATATCTGTCACTAAGTAACGTAATAGATAGTTACGTCTTGAATTAAAAAGCAATTGTTGAATGACCGTTTAGTTATGTACTCATGTGGTTATAGGTACTTTATATAATATCTACAAATTAATAATGCTTATTAATACTTATATTGTTAATATAATAATAATAAATAATACTTATATCGCCACTTAAGTAATCAATAATTTTAAGTAACAAAATAAGTAACAAGAATAATAGGTTGTAAAAGAAGTTTTAGTATTCCTAAACAGTAGAAAAAGTACGTTTGTATAGGGATTTTATAATTTTCTTACGCTGAGATTCTACAATAGCATAGAATCGATATTAAATTTGTAAAATGGTGTAATGATAAACTAATAATCTGCTTATCCTCCAAAAGGTGAGTGAAATTAAGGAATTGGGTGACACAAACGATTCTATGCGGTGCATATGTTCATAGTCAGCTGGAATATGCGTCTCTAAAACTAAGCTATATCTATGTAGAAACCTATAATTGGTTAATTCTGCTTGAAAATAAATTTGCTCTTTGAAATTCTGGAGGAATTTTTATAAAAGTCTGAATCTTCTTTTTAAAATGGCTCTACAAACATTGGAGGCAAGCCTCTTACATCCTCTTACAACTATCCTATTCCCTGTGAGGGAGGATAGTTTGACTACACTTTCGTACGCATTTTAGACTAAGTTTTTTCCATTTTGTAACGTTACTCTTCACATGAAGTTTGTCCATTTATTATAAGTTGGTTTATAACTCCGATGTCGAAGTCTAAACTAAAACCAATCTTTATCGTGTACAATCATCTCTAAAATATTCTACGTACAGGTGTAGTTGTTTATATATAACCGTGAAACAGGTAAATTAGAGGTCACAACATACTAATGTAACTGCTATTATTAACATCATCATCACATCACCAGTCTATTAAAGTCCCCACTACTGGAGCACAGGTCTCCCTATAGGAATTACATATTATTAGATTAAATAACATTGGTTATGTTACATATGAAATTCAATATTGTTTATTCTTCCTAGTCTGCATGCATTTGTGACAGCAAAAAACTGTTGTATCGGTCCGTAAATCTATTGTTTGCTTCTGTATTGCATTCACTTAAATATTTATAACAGTGTTTATCATTGTTTGTATGGATTATATATTTCCAGTTATTTTCATATAAGTCTATTTTTCTTTCAGAGTAATTATCAAAAGAATGCACCCTATTTAAATTATTACAAAAACTAATCAGTGGTCTTTACGTGAAATGATAAAATCTACCTTAAAAACGCAAGTAAATAGGTCAATAAATAAGATGTAGATATTTTTTTATAAACTAAGTACTTAGTTTTCTTATCCATAGACAGTTTTATACATTACAAACCAACTTTACGAGTTATTGGTTCCTCGTTTAAAATTATAGTAGAGCTTTTATTTTAAGTTTTTCTTTTCCAAACTTTATCTTAATTGGTTTAGGCTTACGCCTAGAGAGAGACAGTCAGAGTTATTTACGCATTTATAATATTTGTGTGGCAAGAGGATTCTTATTTATCCAACATTATGGGAATCCTGACTTGACTTATTGTAATGTTGGTAACTTACGGAGAAGATAATGAATATGTAAATTATACCACACAATTGAATGTTGAGTCGTATCATAATTTTAATAACCGTCAACAGAATTCTCACAGGTGGTGGGCGAGATTTTAATATTATGCCTGCAAGCTCGCAAACCATCCTGTAGGAAACCATGGACGCGTGATAGTCTCCTTTGGGAACGTTAATTTGTATTCATGGTCGCTCGTCGTTATTTTATGAGCTGGGAATTGTCAGTGAACAAGTAATTTTGATATTGGTTGCTTGGTATGTTAAAAAACAACTATTGAAAAAGTGTCTTGCAAGTATGAAATTTAGGCCCTCTGTTATTTACCTACAAAGATTACGGTTAATTTGATTTCATAATATTGATTGTCAATCCAGCCGTTAACTTTTATTACAGTTGGAGGCTCAAAATATGTGTAATATTTTTCGAACTGTAGTAATAATTAATAAAGCTATTCTAAATAATAACGTACGTCAGTGGTACCCAGCAAATAACATTGCTTGTATTTATTTTGATTTCAGCATGCTTGTGTCAGATTTCCGCAATTCAATAAAGTTTCGTTTCTAGGAACATCTTGAGTTTAGTGGCACATTCGCGGCATCATTCCAATTGGCACGTCTTCTGCAATCGGATATCTCTTGGATGCTGTCTGTAAATGAATAACGCTCTAAGTAAAGATATAAAAACATATGTATTTTGACAGCAAAATGCGAAAACTACGCAGCGACAGATCGAATATACGAGAATTGGAATTACAAAGCAACAATTGTATACAACATCAGACAGTGTACCTCTATACACTCATAGCTTTAATTATATTGTTGAGCAGACTTTTAGTTAACATAAAATTAATAAGTAAGGTTACATTTGATTTTTGTTTTGTCAACATACACACACTCTTTTTCTATAAAAAGTAATCTACACGAGCCGTTTCATCTATTGATGGTCTGGTTGGTCTTCTAGTTCTTCACATTTATGAACTATGCTTCACGACGTGCTTATAAACATATTAAACATTTCCTTATAATTGTTTCAGATAACACATATAAAGTGGTTGAAGTAGCCGCAAACGAGAGGATACGTTTAGTCTGCGGACTGAGAACGAATGGTCAACCTCTTCTGTGGTACAAAGACGGACAGTACATCAACAGCCTCCTGAAACCCAAATTAGTCCAACAGAAGCAATGGTTAGTATATATGAAATAATAACCATTAAATAAACTATTGAGTGAAAATGTCAAATGAACTTATAAGCAATATATATACTCGTATATATATGTGTTGTATCAGTTTTAATGTTAATTGTTACAGCTGTTGCTGTAAACATTGCTTCTCAGTAGTTTTTATTTCTTGTATTATTAGTATAAAACGTTTAATTTCAACTATTTATGTCTGCTTTAACGAGAATTCAACTGACGAACACAAACAAAATACCAATAGATATCTAAATTCCAACTAAATTAAGACCTGAGTTAGATTTGTAGTCAAACCCATGTACCAAATTCTCAATAATATTTACGTTCCTATCCAGTACTGAGAATAGAGACGCTAATTCAAATGCAGCGGCCGTGCATTCGAGGCCTTTCACAACAAACTGCCTATCAAAATAACATATCGAATTAATCGTGTTATATTAAAGATCGCCAGCCAGTTGTTGAAATAACTCGTATTCTAAAATTGTTTATGATTTTGAATGAGAATAATGTTATTAAAGTACTATGTTCGATTGTACAAAACCTTTAAGAGGCCTTTTACAAAATATAAACATATTTTCGAAGCTTTTTGGTTTATTTATTTTTTTCTATATTTTATTACCAAATTTTGTGACCAAAAAAATATTATCTCGAGCTACTCCGTGCTTCGGAAGGCACGTTAAGCCGTTGGTCCCGGCTGCATTTGCAGTCGTTAATACCCTCCAATCCGCATTGGGCCAGCGTGGAGGGTCATGGCTCATCCTCCTTAACCATCCATAAGGAAGGCCTGAGCCCCTGCAGTGGGGACGTTAAAGGGCTGATGAATATAAATATATTTTATTAATGATATTTCATATTTTCACAATAAAACTATATAATAAACTAGCTTTTGCCCGCGACTTCGTCTGCGTGATGTAGTTACTTTGGGCATAATATTTTCCAAAAACGCTGTTGTTTTTTTGAGCTGATGATGAAATTACCTTGATGTTTAAGTTCAAAGATAGTACAACAAAATACCAACGAATATATTAATCCAATTCAATGCAATTTGAAATAAAGATGAAAAAAAAAACAATTCTGAAGTTTACACAAAACTTAATCGAAAACGTAATCTACGTAAAATTCTTTGAAAGAAATGTTAGCGCAGATACGCCATCTAGAACACAGCGCCATCTATTGGGTGTATTTGCAATCTAGATGTCAAACGATATTGAAGAATTTTATCTATGAATCAACGTACACCGTCATCTATGAGAACTTCATAAAACTAAACAGTAAATAAACACTTGCTTAAGAAACAATTAATTAGAACATTTTATTTGTTTACATTCACGACATATCTGAATAATTGAGATGATAACTATCGCATCCAGTAAGTAAGACTAAAATACGGTTACATGTGAAATTTGATTGAAATCGGTTCAGTAGTTTTGGAGTTTATTGGCAACATACATCGTGACACAAAATTTTTATATATATAAGATAATATTTTCAATAATTTAAAATTAATAATATATTTTTGACATTACATCCAGAGAGGTAATAGTGCCCATAATGCGCTTAGTTCTCATTCTTAGATGAATAATAATATGATTTTTATTTGTTCGTTTCAGGTTACGCATAAGAGGATTCCAGGCAAAAGATGCCGGTGTTTACTCTTGCCAAAATGCTGAAGACAGAGGCAGAAGCATGAATGTAACCGTCAAACATAAACGTGATAAGAACCATGAATTTACAGAAGGTAACATATTAATCCAAACAAATAGTTATCCATTACTTGATTCTTGTATAAAAATAAAATTAGTAGTTATATTTTCTTTTGCAATATCATAACTTATAGCAAAATGTATCTCTGGTTTGAATCTAGTGTATAGTTATTTGGTATTTCCAAGTCTAATTTTAATATTCATCGTTAGTTTCATAGATTGCGATAACAAGGAAATTATTTCAAATGTTTACAGCCTAAAACTATTATTATCCAGAATTATTAAAATATAGCTAACGAAGATAATATTTCAATTTACATATATGTACTACGTGCAACTTCCGCGTATAAATAGATTTTGATTGCAGTATTTTATTGATCTAAAGATATTAAACGGCCAAGTAAATCGTGGTCTTGCGCATATTGTATGCCGTCACCCGCATCGTTTATATTTTTGGAAGACATGCTTATTATGTCCTGTCATCAGTCCCAATAACTTCCTGCATTAAATCAGTCAGAATATCTGGATTTTGCGCAACAAACGGGAAACACAAATTTAGAATTACTTCATTTTGTTTTCGGAACGACATTAAGTGTTTTCTTTACTTTGTTAATAACTTTGTTCCTTTTAAATTCCAGAATATCAGTCCGATATTGACGTTGATAGACCGATGCCAGAGATTCTCTCCCAGCATCAAGCTCTAGTCTTAGATAATAATAACACTATCGACGAAACGAATACTACGGCAATAATAGAAAATAGAAATTACAAATACGACAGTACAAAAGATGAAGACCCTGACGATAGAAACGAGAAAGATCATCCCACTTATGGACACGTAGACAGCAATATCAAAAAGTTTCCTCCGAGATTTAAGCATCCTTCGAAGTTGTATATCAATGAAATGAAGCCTGCTGGAAGCTATATAAGATTTAAATGTGCTTTTGAAGGTAATACTCGATAGTCGACAATTTTTTCTTAAAATCAATAATTAAAATGATTATATTAAAACAAGACAATATCCTGATATAGTTAATATATGTAAAAAATTTTTTTTTTATTTTCAGGAAACCCAACGCCCAATATAACATGGCAAAAAAACGGCGGTCCAGTAGTACGAAGTTATTTTCAACCCACATATGGAAAGTGGTCAATCGCACTTGATGAACTGACAAAATCTGATAACGGCAATTATACTTGCATCGTTTGCAATGAACTGGGTTGCATCAACCACACCGTGCTTTTGAGCGTCGAAGGTGACTTTAATTTATTTTATATTTTTAGATTATAACTTTTAGCTTCCTTCTGAAATTCAGCGTTGTGACGAGGGGATGTTGTCACCGTGACTTATGCTGTACCGGATACTTGTTCGCCACTGTGGCACAGCTTAATGAACCAACAATAATTTTTAATGGCAATTCTAGAGAATACATTACTCTGTGCAACAATTTGTGATAATTTATTATTATTAGCCTTGGATACATATAATATTTTTACGATTGTGTTTAATTTGGTAATAGTCTGCTGAAGTCAATCTCAATCGGCGCCTATTAAACTCTTACCATGTTTCACATTATATATTTCAAATACGTGTTCTCTTGTTAATCTGGCAACTTTAGAATTTCTTATTTATTGGATTCCGTTTGGATCTTAAACATAGTCATCATACTTAAAGATAGTATCAACATTTGGATAACATTCTTTAGAGCGCTATCCATCGGTGCCATACATTAAAGAGGGTTACCCGGGAAACATCACGGTGCTAGTAAATGACACCGTGCAGTTGGCGTGCCCACCCATCTCAGATCTGGAGCCGATGGTGATTTGGCAGCGGTCTACTAATCAGACTTTGTGGGACGGCGAAGGGAAACCGACGAATGGGATTATCTTAGTGGACATAACGGTCTGAAAAACAAAATTTTGCTAACGGTGTTACAACATCTGCCTAATGGACAAAATTTGACGTACAATGATAATTACGAGTATCATAATATGAGAAGTTTAAAATCAGTTCAAGATTTTTAATGTGGTTACATATACATATCTTGTGTTATTGTTCAGTAAATGTTTCAGAAGATATTTAAAACGTACACAGAATTTATTGTAAATTTATAAAAAAAACTTATTTTGAATTTGAGTCATTAGGTTATTTGGGCATTTACAAACGTTCGGAAATATCATTAATAATTTACGTAGCATTAAGAGCTAATGAATTGATATGGTATATGTAAACATTGGTTTTTTTATTGATAAATATGAATCAACATAAGAATGTTGCCAGATTTTACTAATGTTGATGTCACACAGGTCTATGTAGTAACACCCAAAGGTGAAGCAAAGATACCGTAACGTAGTGTTGTTGATAACAAACAATATGGGTTATAAATGATGACTACTGTGGTTGGAAGGTTCCTTAACAATATTCGTGATCCTACAAATTTTTAAATGTGTCTAACTGGTGACGGTTTATGGTGGTGGTTGATGTCGTAATTTAAGCAGCAGAACATTGTATTTCAATATTATTTCGTTTAGTTATGTAAAATACTATTAGTTTTTATATCTCAATAATTATAGACATACATTTAGAATCACAATTAATAGTATTGTATGAAGTTCTCTTTATTTTATTGACATTGTTATTAAACATATGATATTACCCTAAATCTTAGCTTATATTAACTACATTGGATATTTATACGAGTGAAAAACGTGCGTATTAAAAACCACTGTATTTGAATACTCGATGTTAATTAGAAATAATTTTATAGAGAGGTTATACGCCAAACCGGTCCTAACACAAGGTGCCGAAAATCAAACGACACTCGTCGGAAAAACGGCCAGATTCACTTGCGAATTCCTCTCCGACTTGCATCCTTATGTTTACTGGATGTTCTTCAATAAAGATGAGAACATTTACGGGGACGTCGAGTATGAAGACGATGCGAAGGCACCCATGATCCATGCGGACACTAACAAAATCATAGCGGTGAGGGATGTCCACTAACGCATTAGGTTTGCATGGACTGCTTTTAATGTTGCATGCTAATGTTAAGTTTGGATTAATATAGACTTGTCAAGCATTCTGCTTTTAGGACATTTCCTGGTTTTGTGTCCTGGAATCTCTTGGATAGTTTTAAGTAGCCTCCTAAATTTTAATCCAAGAATTAACATTTACTTTGGAATGGAAAATACTAAGTTTTTTTTTAATAAACATAGTGATTAAATTTTGGTTTGCTTTCATAATTCAAAATTAATGTTTGGTTGCTTTTTGAACGAAATCGTTATATGTGTCGTGGTCATAATTTATTAATATATACTCATATATATAGGATATGCATGTAAGTACATTAAAATAGCGATAAGATTCTTGTTATAAAAGTTTGATTAAAAAAAAATACGCCATATGCATCATTAATAATATCGATAACAATTATTCGTAATAATGTTGGCCTCAATTAGATATTGTAAATTAAATATTCCAGAGTGATAATTCGACAGACAAACCTGAGCAATTGACAATATACAATGTCACAAAAGAAGATGAAGGCTGGTACGTTTGTGTGGCCATAAATGGTTTGGGAAATACTACAGCGAAAGGATATCTCACTGTATTAGAATGTAAGTGTCAGGTTATGACTGCCTAGCGAAATTTATGTACCTAGATATTATACTCTTTATAGTTTTCATATTGTTTACGTCCTTGATGTACAAGAATGATATATATCCATAGCGATTCGGTTCGTAAAGCAAGAAAAGAACTTCCAGTGTTCTATAAATTATATAATTTATTGGTGTATCAAGAAGCGTTTGATTTACAACATCCGAATCATCCAAGTTGACGTTGACATCATCCAATATTTCGGTGAAGAACACACACTACGCAACCCCCAAAATTGTTTTTAGATTAGGTATATTAGAGTCTTGTGTGATTCAAATATGAAACAATGTTCAGCGAAGTAACAATTCTGTGGTATTTTAATATCGTATCTATGTAATATTTCGCGCTTCACTTTTCAGCTTTACCAGAAAAGGAGCCTTTAGATCACGGCAAGCACACTCTTCTAATTAACATACTGACAGCAGTTCTCGGGGCGATGTTTTTCGTCGCAGCCATCATAGTGGTGATGATCTTCAAGAAGTTAAAAAGGGAGAAGATAAAGAAACAGCTCGCTATAGAAACCGCACGAGCGGTGATTGTCACCCATTGGACGAAGAAAGTGACCGTCGAAAAGCCACAGATGAACGGAACCGCTTCCGACCATACCGATGGACTGGTAAAAAAACATTAACTCGTTTTAGCACAGAAAATGATATCTAACCAGAATTATATTCCTAACGAGTGCTTATCTACCTACAGCTGATGCCGGTTGTGAAGATAGAGAAACAGAAGCTGTCACAAGTGCAGGGCACCGCTCCGGAGTCGATGGCGATGACGGAGTACGAGCTGCCGGTGGACGTGGACTGGGAGGTGGCGCGCGAGTCGCTGGCGCTGGGCAAGGTGCTGGGGGAGGGGGAGTTCGGGAAAGTCGTCAAGGCCGAGTGCATCGGCATCCTCAAACCGGGCCTCAACTCCATCGTTGCCGTTAAAATGTTAAAAGGTTTGTTAACAATAAACTAACTATATTGAATTTGAAATTGAAAGTGTGATAATTTCCAGAAAAAATTGATTAAATGTTAAAGAGTCCTATCGTTTTGTTTTTAAATAAAATTTGTTGACATTCAGAGGGCCACACGGATGCGGAGATGATGGCGTTAGTGTCTGAAATGGAGATGATGAAAATGATCGGTAAACACGTGAACATCATCAACTTGTTGGGCTGCTGTACTCAAGATGGACCTCTCTATGTTATCGTCGAGTATGCACCCAATGGGAATTTAAGGGAGTTCCTGAGGAACCATAGGCCTGGCAACAGGTAAATTGATATTATTTATACTAACTAATAATTCTCGATGTCTTATTGATATCGCAAAATAGTAAAACTTCATGGGATAGTATTTGGTTTACATGAACTAATAAATAAAATATGAATCGATTTCTAAAACTTTAAACATTTTTAACCAATATAATATTTAAATAAGGATCACATACATCGCATGTATATAAATGTGTTATGAAATTAGAAAAAAACTATTGTCTCAATGTTTTGTTTTGCTGAAATGTGTAGTCTCATTGCCCATGTGACCTCTCTTCTAATTTATTTATATTGTAATTAATAACTTGTTCTAGATATGAATCAGACATGGAATCTCTGAAAGAGAAGAAAACATTGACACAAAAAGATCTCGTATCTTTTTCATACCAAGTAGCTAGAGGAATGGAGTATTTAGCTTCTAGAAGGGTGAGTAATTTTATTTTCTAGTGATTTTTCTATGCCGTTTGTAGTATTTTTCTATGTCGCTTCTTTACTAGTTTCATGAAAGTGTGTTCTTTGTTATTTTATTTCTGTTATGATTTGAAAAATAAATGTACATATTTTTCAGTGTATTCACCGTGATTTGGCCGCACGTAACGTGCTAGTATCGGACGAGTGCGTCCTCAAGATAGCCGACTTCGGTCTCGCGAAAGATGTACAAAGCAATGACTATTATCGTAAGAAAACAGAAGGTCGGCTCCCGGTGCGGTGGATGGCACCCGAGTCGCTCTACCACAAGGTGTTCACCACACAGACTGACGTGTGAGTAGCTTATCGAGATATAATGCGAGTCGTACGCTAGCGAATTTTTGCAGAAATAAACTGACAAGCGGGTCGATCGAGTACAATTTTAGTTTACCCGCTTGGGCGTTTACATGTGTGAAGTCGCTTGCGAAAGTCGACTTTTGCAAATTTTAATGCGAGTCGGGAGGATTAATGTTCGGACAGGTCACGTCACGTTCAGGTACATATTTAAATATCTCGTCGGGTGATCCAGGTGGTCGTTCGGAGTGTTGCTGTGGGAGATCATGACGCTGGGCGGCACGCCGTACCCGACCGTGCCCGGCCAGTACATGTACCAACACCTCAGCGCCGGCCATCGCATGGAGAAACCGCCGTGCTGCAGTCTCGAAATGTGAGTACTATCCCCGTCGTATAAAGAACAGCCTCGTCATATAACTAAATAATTATTATATTCAATAGACCTATCGAAAGACTCACACGGAGCATCGAAAGAATCATTCTGGTGTGTACCGGTCATATGTAGTTTTCGGTTCAGTTCTAATGAGTCGCATCGTGTTCCTCAGCTACATGCTGATGCGCGAGTGCTGGTCGTTCTCGGCGGGCGACCGGCCGTCGTTCGGGGAGCTGGTGGAGGACCTGGACAAGCTGCTGACGGTGACGGCCAACCAGGAGTACCTCGACCTCGGCCTGCCGCACCTCGACACGCCGCCCTCCAGCTACGACGGCTCCGCCGACGAGAGCGACGAGCCGGACTTCCCCTTCATCAAGTAGACCTCGACCTGGACGAATCGTCATTGGAGTCATCGCCCGCGAGTTCCACGCGTGGCTCGAGTCGGCCGGGAGTCGTTTCGTTTCTTACCTGTGAATCGTGAATCGGCCCGCGATGGAGCCTCGGTTGTGGACGGTAGATCGAAATCTTTAGTGCCCTCTAGTAAATTTTAAGACGATCGCGCACGACGTTAAAGCGGGTTCCAGAAAAATATATCGCAGCGGATGCGAGGAGTTCGGAGACCGATGATGACGATGAGCGGGGGCTCCCCGCGACGTCATCGGTGAAATTGTAAAATAAATTTAATTGTAAAAAGAAAGGATTTTTAGTGTTCTGTTCGATTTATTTTATCCGTGTACGTGTATGGTTCAGCGAACGCATCTCCCACCTCGTAAGCTGTGTGCGTCTAATATGTAGCATTGGAAATAAAAATACGATAAGTAACATTTTTTATGACTGATATGTATGTATTCCTACCGCCCGATAGTTAGGCTAGTAAAATAATGAAATAACTAGTAAAAAAGTTTTAATAGCCTTTAAACTGTGCTATAGAATTGACGAATAAATTTTAGATTAATAAATAATTCTGTAACATGTTTATTATAACTAGTTATTTATTTCACTTATTAAAATTAAGCATTATGTTGTCTTTTTTTCTTTTAATAAAAATTAGTGTAAAGTTTAATACGTGTAACTATTTTTTTATTGTTAGATGTTTACCAAAACGTGCAAAACAAAGTGCTGCATAATATTTTTGATTCTTTGTAAATAAATTTACTATAATAAATATATAGATAATTAGATAAACTTAATTATAAAAGAAAAATTATTCTGTAAATAGTTGTATTGTGTATTTTTACCAAAGTATAAGTCGTAATTTATTTTGTAATGACGTTTTTAAAATGTTATATCTCAGTATTTCGATTAAGAATTGTCATGTACAAAAGCACAGTGCATTTCTAAACGTCTAGTCTACGTGTATGTTATAATAGCCAGCTACCAAATTTTGAGCTTGTAAAATCAGCACGCCAGGATTGCAAAAGGCCTTATTTATGATATAAATATTAAGACTTACCTTGTTTGAAAAAAGAGAAAAATATTGTAAAAATCGGGCTTTTTGCAGTGACCTAGTGTGATGCAATGTGTACAATCATTAGTTCATAATATAATAATTAATTAGCTCTATTACATGTACGCTATCATCTAAGTGCGATTGTAATTAAAACTATACTTATATCGTAAAATATTGCGTTTTACAAAATTTTCATAGGGCTGAATATTATTTTTAAAAACTGTGTCTCGTGAATATTGTAAGTTATATTTCAAGGTAATTACTATATCAAGTTGCATTTTACCACCAAATGTTTTGTACTTAAATAATTTTAGATATATTATGTTTGTAAAATAAAATCAGTGTACTGATTTTATTATTTGAGATGAATGTGGGACAGACAATACGATGTAATGATATGACGAGAATTTATTATTAAATAAATAAAAATATTTTTAATTTCAAGTGTAAAATATAATGCTCATTTTTAGCCTGATCAAATGAGAAATTAAATAATATTGAAATGTATTGTGTACCTAAATTATTTTAAAATATTGTAGGCCTGCGTTTGCAATGTAAGTGAAAACAATGATATTATTTAAAAGTTTCGAAACACTATTTAAAGGAAGAAGGAGTGAAAAAATATTTTTAATTACATTTACATAGCAAGAAGTAACATTATTAAATCTGATCAGAAATAACAAATTTTCATCTTTATCGAAAGTTTAAATATTTCCTTCGGCTGTTCGGGTGGATGCCTGAACATTGATGAGAATACGCTCTGTAGTAGCGACAAGTAACAAGTGCTTGAAAGATTCGTCAGCCCTGTTAGGTCCTGGGTAGCTCAGTGGTTAGAGTCCCATCTCAGGGCGCCAGGGACCAAGTGGATTTTTAAGCATTTTTCACTAAGAAGAAATAACATGTTGTAAATAGCCCCACCTCTATATTATTTTACGTGAAAATGTGATAAATCTGCACGATTAGGTTTTAAGTTATAAGGAAGTGGGCATTGTTTTTTTTACCACATATTACCGAATAAAGCGCCAGTAAGAAGTTAGAGTTAAAGTACAAAATGGATACTTGGCACAAGCCTTCCATCGACTGTAGATCTTTCTGATTCTCTAGATACGGTATGTACGTTTGATTTAATACTAGAGACATCATCAGTTACATGGATGCATATTATGCGCGTTAGTGAATAAAGTATTTTTAGAAAATATTTTTTTTTTGTAAATACTTTCATACTTTATACTATTGACCTTATGATTTAGATATTCTAATGGTTTAGTCATAGTCAATGCGATTTATAAAATGTTTTCATTGACCGCATCAGCTGTATTATTATCGAATGAGATGATTAATTTTGGTGTTCATAAACTTTTATTGTCTTTGTTTGTATATTTGACTTCAACGTCTCTCTGTAGCGAGGGTCGCTGCTTTGTGACATAATAAACTGATGGAATGAGATCGAATCAATTTGTTTAATTTTATTTTTTTGAGAATTATATTATTATAATAATTAATTATATTTTAACTTCTCTGTTTTCTTAATAAGGCTTCCAAACTTCGTATACTTCTTCAATTCATTAGTACTTAACTCAAGTGCTAATAAATTGAAGTAGGTATATAAAGATTACCCATAATGCAGACAGAGACAGGAACATAGATTGCAGTTCCTTAAAAAAATAATGAAATAGCTATTGCATAGTTCAGCTTCGTTTATTCATAACATGAGGAGTTCTAAAATTTTGCTTGAGTACGTTGGTGCGTAATGCATCCGTCTTCGGTAAAAAATGCACTTAAAAATAGTAAGTAAAATTAATAAGTCCGCTAATGACATTATATCCCCAAAATATTTATTTATCTGGTATAAACAAAACATGTCATAACATGAGGGTTCAAAAACAAGGAATCGCTTAGAGGAAAAGTAAGCAGTGCCCTTGCTCTTCGTTTGGCTCGTCTTGGAGGGCCAATACCGTGGCCCCACCCATGTACACCAAAGTGTTTAACTTAATAATTTGTAAAAGTTATGATTTCTTTTTTTTTAAATTTTATAAATCATATTTTTATAAAGTAGTTAATTGAAATTTAATTTTTCACAATACGAGAGATAGACAGAAGGTTAGTACATAATGTCTTATGCTTAAAATTCATTTATTTAAGTTAACACGAGCGCCTTTGGGTCTAAATTCAGACCAAATTTTAACTTGATCGGTCTATTAATTTCGGACAAAATCTATGTTTCAATCAATGACAGACAGAAAGACAGAAGAGTAATCCTCTGCGTGCAATTTTTTGTAAATAGTGCAGAGCCATACTACAGTGCATGTAAAGTGCACGTTCTAGTGTACTGATAGCAGTGGCGTAACTATACCGTTTGAGGCCCGTGGCAAATTCATCATATATTCTATTTCTTTTTTACTAATTGCGTAATAATTAATGTCAGGAGTAAGGAGTCTCCTCTGACCGGGGCCCCTTCCAGCTGGGGGCCCGTGGCATTTAGCCGGCTTGGCACCCTGTAGTTACGCCACTGACTGATAGCTACTAAATTATCCCTTTACTAAAAATCGCTAGTGTGTAGAGCAGGGGCTCTAAGGGTATTGTTTTTCCCTTTCAAGGCCGGTGAAGTTTTAAAATGGAATTTCGTGCCAAAAATTTCAGTACTGAATTGGTATATTTTACCATTTAATTACATAAGAAAACCACTAACCTGCTTTTTCGATTAAAAGGATGTGTACACAAAGAATCACTAACGCTCAATTAGTTTTGTACAAAGAAAAAACACGGTTTATTCTTTGTACAAAACTAATCAAGCGAAACAAGTTTCTGTTGATAAATTTGAAACCAATACGTAAGTAATTTTATAGCCGAGGGTTTTATGCAAATTTATACACATTTTATGCAAATAATAGACACCCCTTAAAGTTTGCGACTAATTAATTAATAAATTTTTGACGCGTAATCCGTGCTTCTGTGCCTATATTTCTACATTTAAATAGTACTGGGACAGTGTTTCGGCTTTACATCCTCTCTTTAATTATGTGGCTCAATAAAGTACGAAGACCGAATACTTCTATTTATATTAAGAGAAAAGTTACGACTCGTTGATGTTCCACCTTGCATCAGCAACTTTTTTGAAAATTGCGTCATCCATTCATATAAATAAAATTCAATGAAAAGTAAGTGTTACCAGGTAGCAATATGGTAACAATTCAAACATAGTATCATAAAGTTATTTTAATATTTTAGAAGCAATGCAGTGCACCAAGTTTATGTATTAATTAAAAACTCATCAGACACCGGTCAACTGGCTTTAAAAATTCACTCAAAATCAATGGAATCGTATATAGATTTTGATTTTCGTATACAGACATTCTATGTGAAGTAAAATGGAACGCAACGATGCCGCCTAGTCTGGCATTGTACAAAGAAACCGTGCAATTTACACAGTCTTTATTGCTATTATATTAAGGTTCCTTTTGACTTGCAATGCTGATTACGTAGGCGCATCGACCGACAAGAAATACGTCACAGACTGGTCGGACTTCACTTCAGTCTGTCAGTCGTGTGCGAATCGTCGCAATGGATATTCGTGTTAGTGATTCCCCACGCTTATAGCTAATTCATTACGGTGCACGTGTTCAAATAAACACGATGAGACACAAGTAGAATAACAAAGTGTAATAAAGTACCTATCTGTGATATAACCAAACCATCAGGGACGCGGGCGTCCTCGACTTTCACCAAGTATCGCGATTTCTAAAGAAAGCTCCTCTCGAAAATGGATAATAATAAGGAATATCTGGGGAAAACAGAAGATTTCAAGGCGGAGTATGAGGTGTCAAGGAAGGAACCCTTCTGGGTGTTCGGTTACGGTTCCTTATGCTGGAACCCTGGATTCGAATACAAACAGGCTGTAACAGGATACGTAAAGGGTTTCTCCAGAAGATTCTGGCAAGGGAACACCACACACAGAGGCACTGAAACTAAGGTATTTTTTATATTATAAATGAAAATTCCTAGTTTATGTAGAATTACTTCCTTGACTGCTTTTACATTTTCAGAAGTAACAAATTTTGTTCGAATTTTGTGACATGATAACAATCTTTTAGTAATAAATAGATATATTAATAGAATAATGTAAAATTAATATAAAATCTTGAAGATTTTGATTAGAGTTTGATTGTATTTGTATTTGCTCCATTGGACGCTCTGCGAGTATATTCCGAATCTGATGCAACTCTGGTAAAGCCTTTCGTGGAACAATGCGTCAACCTTAATGTAATGAAATTTCACGTTACAAGGTGCGTCTATATTTAATTTAAACTATTTTAGAACCATATTTGATGACTTAAATAACGTTATTAATATAGGTATATTTCAATGTGAAATAACTTTAATGTATGATGGTTTTGTTTTTAAAACTCCTCTGAAGTTTGTATCTATCTCACTCACTCAAATAACAACTATAATAAATGAATTGTCATTACCTCTTCTAGTTCACTGGCTATTAGGAATAAAATTTTGCCGTCAAAAAGACAATTTAATGTTCACTGAAAGTATTTTGTCCTGTATGACAAGTTGTAGCAATATGTCTATAAATATAAAGTCTGGTAACTTAGCTATTTGGCCGACATTTGTAAATCTGTTAATAAAATCCTGTCAGAATTAGAAAGATTACTTTTATGTAATACGGGATGGAATTTTATTAAATTAAAAGGGACAGACGGTCAGTTGCACAAACGTCCATTAAAGTTTAATGACGCTCTAATGAATGTCAAATTTGTATGGATAATGCTGCTTTAAACTAATCAGTTTGTGCAACTGGTTTCTAGTCAGATATATTTTACTGGTAACACTTATTAAAAAAATATATGAGTAATATTTATAAAAACATCACCCGACGTCAGTTGACGTAATAAGAGGCAACCGACGACAAAAGGTAACTTATTACCTATTCATCCCGTTCTAAAATCTCAAGTAGCTAATGTAGCGGAGCAGTTGTAAGGAGCAAATATACGGCTTACCTGAGTTTCTAATCGAAAACAATGCCTTTAAGAAATCTTGTAAATATTTTTAAAGTTATAAACAATAAACTAGTAACAAACACTTTGCACAAAAATAAGATAGAAATAATAATTTCGTAATTTTCTTATACGTCACGTTAAAATCACAGAAATTACCTATTAATTATTATTAGTATTAGAGCCGGTGAGTTTCTTGCTGGTTCTTCTTGGAAAAAAAGTTGGACGATTCAAAAGTACATTTGAGAAGTCTATTTGAATAAAGAATATTTTGTCTTTCACTTTGACTTTTTATACAATTTATTAAACATTTATTTTTTGGAAAATATAGAACCAATTTCTGTCTTTAAGAAAGTCATAAATAATACTTATCGCAAAACGACTTATACAAGAAATTTTTTTTTTAAGTGTTTAGTGATATTGTCTAGTATGAATAAAAATATTCAACATAGGGAAAGTCCTAGAAAAGGGGATTTTGTTTATTTTCTCGGAATAATTTTTTATCGTCAAAATTGAACTTCGGTCCACCTCGGTTCATCAAGCTGTCCAAAAAAAAGGAATTTTGAAATTCGGTTGAAAATTTACGAAAATATCGATAAAGATAAAAGACATAAAAACACTCCTTTTCGATTTTGAAGTCGGTTAAAATCGAAGACGTGGGAGGTGTGAGACGCGCGCTCGTTATCGTATGCCCAACCAAGGTCGTTCTCTTTAATGCTAAGTGCATTTCCTCCATGTTTGCAAAGAACATCTTCGAACTTGACGTCGAACTCAGCGATGTCACAGCATAGAGGTTCAATAGAATAAACCTTTGTTACCCTTTAAAATAGGTCAGCTGTGTTCGACGCTGCGTTCGAGGCCGTTCTTATTTCAGTTCTTATATAGTATTGCAGCTGCAGATTACAGATTTCAGTCAAACATTTTGTTGGTAAATCTAATTTCCTTATCTCATTTGGTTTCGCTCGTGATCGCTAGTGACGCTTTGACCTATTTATATATTTTCGCCACTAAATTATCTTGTCGTTAATTGTAATTAATCGTACCTACATCATAATAAACTATCCTTACTGTATCACTGAGCGAGTAACGTATTCAAGGATTTATAAATTTTGTGTATAAATGCCGGCTTTTTATTAATACTATGGTCATTGTTTCGTTAAATAAAATAGAAAAATAATCTTTGATGCCGCAATCTACAAGGTCAATGGAATATACAGTATTTTGATAATACAATGAATAAATGTGCTTATATCTGTGATATATATGATGATAGCTATTTTATATATGGAATCTCGTCGAATAGAGACCGCGCCATGTTCTATCACGCGGGCCTAGTGTGAATTGGTGGGTAAACGACTCACCGGGGCACCTATTCCGCAATAGGTTTTACCAGGTAGGTCAATCTCACTTTGAACTGTCTCAGGACTGGGTTGGTGAAGGTGCATTTCCTTTGCGTTATAAAAATGTACAGCCGAGACTTAAGACTTGAGGCTTAACGTGTCATCCGAAGCACGAAAGAGCTCACAAATTTTTTTTCTCCCATCTTATGACCGGCGTTTATGAAAGTTGCTAACTTCCGTATTTCAGATCAAACGCGCTAACAAGCTCCTCATAAAAAATTGTAGTATTATTTATATAATAATATGAAACTTTAAATATCTACTACATGTACATTGGTCATACGTCGCTGAGACAAGCCATAATCTACTTTTATACCTTTCACTGACTCTTAACCTGAATAATTTCGTACGAAAAATATGTTTGTCCATACAACTTCCACTACTGAACTAATTTAGCTGTTTTATATCGGCCGATGATATTTTTCAAAGATTTATATTAAAATATAAGGTGATTTTTATGCTAAAGTTATTATTTTCTCCATAATTTCATGATAACCTCTGACATCTTTTATTATTCAAATCTTCATATTTTACATTATTTAAACGTTGTATATCTGTATAGACCTTGATATTATTTGTTTCGACGTTTCCAATATTTATTTTTACTTTACCAAAACCGGTTTATGTAAAGTGGGTTATCTAATAATCATGTCATCGGTATTAAATACATACGATTGGTGTGATAACATCTAAACGTTATTTGATAATAGCAGTCTGTACTTTGCATTTTTTGTTTAATTATTGGTGCTGATCAGATTTTTTTTCATATTTATCTTATAGAAGATATTTGAGGCTTTATTTTATTATTTTATTCTATGTGATAAATATTAATTGTAAATCCATAATTTATCAAACATAATAATAAACTTTTGACCTGATATTTAGCAAATTTCAACAGCTAATATATATTATTAGTTCATATGCGAAGCAAAGTGAGATTGTTACAACATAATTGATAAATAACGATATACCTAGATTGCTATTTTTTGGGTTTCCTATTTACCTACAATAGTAGATAAATTAATCGCGCAAAACGAATGTAATGTCAGACCGACTCTTTAATCATTCCGTTTTGTAGTTTTGAGATACAGAGTCCTAAAAACATCGTAACCCAGTTTGAGACGAGCTTAATTAATATTGCATATTCTACTTACGATTTTGATCGAAGATTAGCTTAGAAGCTCTGACACAGCAAAGAAGTATAATGAAATAAAACTTTGATTATCTTTTGAAGTAAGTTTAATTTAATCGATTTACTGTGACCACATAAGAAAAGCTAGCTAGTCTCTATTTAATCAGTTTATAAATATTAATGTATACATAATATAAAATATTTTTAATTTATATTTTTTAATATTATATTATATTTTTTTTATGTTTTTCATGCTTGTCTGGAAAGTGTGTGCACAGTTTCATCAAAAGGTTTGCCAATATGTGGACTTTGTTCTAATTTTATATCTGCCCACTGAATAACGAAAATAGACTGAGATAATTTTGTATCATCCAAAAATAAGCTAAAATATACTTCACTCTCTCGCATACGTTATTTCGTCAGCTTAGAAAGGCACCAATGCTGGCTAGTGGTGAGATAGGTGTCATAGGTTATTAATTTAAATGAGTGTTCGAAATAAGCTGACCAGCAATTAACATCTTCGACTACTCAGTTGGAATAGCACTCGCCTTGCAATCCTGTTAATGTAAACGTATAATAACAGCATCTCAAAGTAATCTCAGTCACACGCGTTTTGTTGTTTTAATTACTATTTACCTGAGGTAAAATAATATTAGTGCAACGTCTTCATCACAAATCAATGATACCTGGGTCAAAAGAGACTTGTTAACATTGCGATCGACCACTGGTTCGAGTGTAAACTTGTACCTGCAAAGTTCCGTGCCTAAAGGGTAGAACGGGACCCTACTAAGATTCCGCTGTCTGTCTGTTTGTCACTAGGCTGTATATAAGTAAAGTTGAAATGATGTGTTTACCTGTCCTGGTGTCTTTGCCATTTGACTAAAATTTAAGGTTTTATAACATTAAAAGGGGCTGAATGAGAATCTTTTATTAAATACTGTTATAAGTATTTAATAGAAGAAATATGAACAGGCCCATATATCTAACGCACAAAAACATCAAGCGACGATATAGGAGACAACCAACGACAAAATTCGACTCCCGTTCTAAAATCCATAACGTAGATATTCTTCAGTTTCCAATCAAAGATATAATACTAAGACCACAAACATGTTTTTCTGTTTATATAGTCCAACTCGCACATGGCCAGTTTGTTTTAAAGTATTTATCTAGGAAATTATTAATTAGTTTAGATACAACCAACCTTATTAAATAGCGAGGACTAACTTTAGTACCAGACCAGAAATATATTAAGTTAATACCTCTGATTTTGACGTTAGGAGTCTTATGATTTAAAACAATTACTAACGTTAGTCCTCGTTTTACAATAAGACGCCATGATTTTGTTTGATGTAAATTAATATGAGAAAGTAACGGTTTTGATTAGTGCACGCAGTTTTAATACAGCTAATATAAAGACGGCTACATACTCCTTTGGCCGTATAACCTTAATCTTATTTATATCAGTTCGTTCACCGGTACAAACAAACAATCAGTAAATCCGTAGATTACTATATCGTTCACGAGACGGTAGCACTGCTGATGGGACTGAAATACATTTTTTTTGCGTCGTATCTACGACCGACTGTGGCACGCGCCGAACGCGTTGCCAAGTATAAAATTGGATTTTAATAATGAGCAAAACGAAGGTTTCAATTATTTTACATTCAATGAACTTCCGTGTAATATGAATAAAAGATCGGGGTCAATTACAAAAACTTTGATATCTTCCAAAATAACAAAAATAAGTTGTCGGTAAAAGAGTATTAAAAACATAGTACCTACCTAGTTTTTTAAACGCCCGGAACTCGTCTTCGTCAGCTTAATACAGTTTATGACATCTTTTCTTATTGGAATAAGGCAATGTCAATGATCTTAAAAAAACTAAAATTATGATGATATTCTTTTATCGGTTTTTTCTTACACATTCTATTTATACATTATTTTATTATTACACACACAGTATTAAATGCCTTAAGTTTTTAAATTTAGTTTTCTTTGTTTCAGCCTGGACGAGTTGCGACACTTATTGAGGACAAAGAAGTGAGTATATTGAACGTAATATATTTTTAAATTTTCTTGACATTGTCTGAATTCTCAAGTCTCCTCGTTCCAAATCACATAGAAAATTCTAAAAGAAACAGGAACTTAATAGGGAGCGTAAACACAAAAGACTGACCCTGTCTATCTCATGCCATCCGGCGCAATGAGTGGATGGCTAATCGGACGTTAAAAACCGTTGGAAGTTGGTGATATTCTTTGCAACTACGCGCACTCTTTATAGAGAATCGAAGGTCGAATATGATACCGCAAAACACGGTGTCACAGAAAACTATTTACAAAAGTACGAGTATATTACGATAATAGCATATCGCGTAACTTGTTTCACGCTATTGTCGCGCACATGAATTGCTGGTACCTACTTATCTATTTTTATCTAACGTAATATTTTCATCATTTGAATAAATTTTATTGAAATAATATCAAACATGTAAAAAACATGTGTGATTTCAAAGGATGGGTGACCAAAACTTGTTATCTCGAGTTACTATGTGCTTTGGAACAACAAGTTTGTTAAGTCGAATGCAGGTGCAGCATTCATCGAACAAACCCGTAAATGTCCACATAATCTATCACTGTTTTATTTGCTAAAGGACTGATTTCTGAATATTATTTTAATCATTATACTAGGTGTTTTTTTATTTTATTTATTTAAGAAACAGGCAGTCATTACAAATTTATTACAATATATACTCAAATACGAAAAAGACAATGAGTGTCACTAAATTACTCTGCCGTGCAAAGGTAAACAGTAAAGTTTATCTGACGAAAGAACTCCCACAGCATAAACCTTACTCCCTTGCAATAAAAGCGAGCTAATGTATGCAAGCCCTTTTGTTACATAAGCTCACGTTATGGAACAATATAAGATTACATTTTAATAAACTTATTCTGATAAAATATCTAGTACATTCTTTTTTAAATTTTATAATGGATCTACTTTGGAGATTTGTTTATTATAAAGTATCAAGCTGCGAAGTAAACAATTTCTTGTGTAATTTTTTTTTTTGAGTTGAGGAGGCACAAACATGGCATCACCAGGACAATATTATAAATAATAAATTTAATCCACAATAAAATTTCGTAAATTAGAAATTCAAATAATCAATCAGTTCCAATAATATAATTTAATAACTATTAAAAACTTCCTTATATAGTTTCAAGCGAGGATTAATTACTGGCTGTTTTCCCACGACTCCGACCGCGTAAATTATAGCTTACGTCAAACCACGTATGATGCAGCTACCCGTTGGTGGAGGAATTTTAAAATCAGTCTATTAGTTTTGATGTAAACAATCAAATCTTCTTTATAATATGAATATAGATACACATATATAAGCTAGAAGTAATTTTAAATAAATAATTAGTTAAACCTATTAATACAATTGATAAATGTAAGTGTCGGGATGTTCGCAACACTGGTAACACAGGCACAATAAACAGCTGCTTCTCGCTTAAATTGGTAAGAAATAAACCTCTTTACATTATTATAAAGCCCATTAGCGGCGCTACAAAAAGGTTTTATTCTTTGTTTATCAATGGACACGTTTCGTTTCAATAATATTTGTATCAGTTTCAATATTGCGTCTGTTCGTTTCGACATTAGATTCACGCGCGCGCTTGTATCTGTGTGTATGTATTATTGATATTTTTCAATATGCATGTGTTTCCTTATTTTTCTTCATTATTAGTATGGGTGAACAAATAAGTTTATGAAATTGGACCTGAAAATATGAAATGAATTGATTGAAATATGATTGGCAACAGTTGTAGATTAATACTACTTTGACTCATACAAAGTAGAACAATATGAAACAGTAAAAGTGAAAGACAGATATTACAAACACTCAACTAAGCCTGGCTAAGCTTTCAAGTAATAATAACTTGATTTATTTATATAATTGACATTGGACGGGCAGTAGTTCAAATTTAATAATTGGTGTTACTAAAAGTAGTCACACTGCAAAGATTTCCTGACGGTGCCCTTATCAATTCGTTATATTTAGTCTATTGATAAGTGTCCGACCGAAACGTATTTTTACGTCCGAAATCCAAATCTAATTTCGGCAAGTCTCAGTTTCGGAAACCGAAACATCCTTACGAGGGTCATGTTTTGCAGGAAAAATAAAGAAAACGTTATTGTAATCAGTCGCTCTTTAATTTTCATCCGACTGAAAAGGATGTTTTTTTATTAATTGCGTGTATATTTAATGTATGTAACGAATTAACGTCATTAGCTTTAGAAATTCTATTGGTTCCACTTTTTGTTTGAAAATACAAAACAAAAATCTCAGTCTCAGATATTTTATTCCTATGTCATTTCGAAACTCACTTCACTTATGCCACGAAATGTTATTACCAATACATGATTGAGCGGATGTCGCTTTTTGAATTTGAAGTGAATTCGGAAACACCTGAGTGAATTCGATATCGGGTTTGAATTTTTACAGAATCGTAGAACCGGCCGCGAGATCCCTCAATGCAATTTCGGTTTCGGTCGGACAGTACTAATGATTAATCAATTTCCGTTTTAGGGCGTCTCCAATTACCTACATTATTAATCGGTGAATCGGCTCTGCAATTGTTGCGCAACTGTCCGCCGGCGCCTTTACTCCATCATCCTTGGTGATTTTGTCATTCGTCTTCGGTTGACTCATAATCAATATTAATTGTTAATTGATTAATTTGGCATTGGACTGTTTTCTATTTATAATGATAAACTTTCTCGTACATTCTAGGATTTTGGTTGCTAATTTTTTATTCAAGGGTTCTTTAAAACAATTCAGAAAGTAATAATAGAAGTAAAGATTTTTCTTCTTTACTTTAATATGACAAGTGAAACGGAAAGTAGAAGTTGTGTGTTACTAGGTATGTTTGGCGAATGCTGCACCATCAACATCAAACAACACAAAAAAAGCGTCAATAAATAAATTTAAATTTATATTTTTTACAATGATATATTTTTATTTGTTCTCGGGTCTTCCCAACTTGTTGGACCATGTACCCGACTCTCACCGCTAGCACGGACAACGCTAGTGACCTTTTTACAATATGTCAATACAAAGTGTCTGTTTATAATGTACTTATATATAAATATTATAATACTGATCTCAGCGGTCTCATAATAAACCTCTTTGTAATACTACTTATTAAACAATTGTAACGTGGGACCTACGAGTTTCTGAGACTTCCCTTGAGACACTATTGTTTTTAGAGACAGTTCAATGGAATAAGTCTATAATAGTTATAGTACATGTATTACAAATGAAGAACCAGCTAAGAGCGTGTCGTACTCGCGCTCCACATAACATTTCTTAAACCAAAGATTTTCCTATTATGGGTAAAAAATATTTTCTGTCCTTTTTTTTTTAATAAAAGGCGTAATAGTTTCGGAGATCCCTGGAAGTCTACTGTGTTTCTCCGAAAAATATGAATCCAAAGAAAGAAATTTTTCAATAATTTATGATGCGAAAGAGGTAAGACCTGACGCTGTCTAGTGCACAGACAATTTGTTGAAATCGCAGTTGTGATTTTAACAAAATTATATGAACGATTTTCAAATTACCGAAATTTCGTTCGAGGACTGAATAGGCTCTGCTGGGAGACATTGCGGTTGATTTTTGCATATTTTCTATGATAATTCAAAAGTATTTATTTTGAAAATATAAAAATGGTATTGCTAGTACCGTGGCATTAAATTAACCTTACGAGAATAAGAAAACGAACATGGTTTCGTTAGTTTCGTTACAACCCGAAAAGTTGTTTCCGAATTTCATTCATTAAATGCTTTAATTAAATAAAGTGTGTAAACAAATAATCCGTCACTTCAACTCGAGCGTGACATTAGCACGTGGCGACGATAACTGCATCAACGCGGAACGTGCATCGGTTATTAATGCTAATACCATTCCGCTTTACGCAGAAACTACTGGTACTGCGTAGAAAAGTAACGCTTTTGCTTCGACATCTCATTTTATACTCGCGCATTTATTTATAACTAGAACTTGGTATATTTGCTTGAGGCCTGAACATTGATGAAGCTCTAGCACTTGTGACAGTCGATAGCTTTGCCATAGACTGATGGTGAATTTTTTTCGACTTATTCCAATCGGTGCAATGTGCATATTGTTGATATATGTTCTTCTCCTCTATCAGAATACCATCTACGACACACGTGACTTGGGTCGCGTCAATCTGGCAATTCGCAAATCGCAGGATGTCATGATATCATTAGCCTCTCGACGTCCAATATATTCAACAGGTCGTTCTCTCATTCACATTCGTTGAAGGGATCCGTTTAGTTCAGATTAAGATTGTATTCATGCTATAAGAATAACTATCTAATGATATTCGATTGAGTGTTTTATGTGAAGGCTAATTAAAACCATGTCTCAGATAAAAACTTATTGGAATTTTTGTTTCGAAAACTTAACCCAAATTTTATCGAGGACTTCTTCCGGTAATAATCAGAATGTATAATACTTTAAGAAAAATACCTACGTATTTCGACAGATTTTAATCAAATTATTATATTTGATTACTTTGTATTCACAATGAAATACCAAAAATTATTCTTGCTCTGACATGGGAGAGTGCCACGGACAAAGTGGATTTTATAAGTATTTTTCGTTAAGGTTTTAATATATTTTATAAGTATCAAACTATTCACATTCGGTAAACTTTTAAAGGTTTGATCGTCGGCAAAGAAAATAAACATACTACTACTACGTAGTCGGCATTCGACACATTTTCATTCCCTACTTTTACTCTCGCTTACTTTTCTGACTACTGTTTAAAGCGCATGCACAAAATGACGTTTCTAGATGAAAATTCAATTCCGTACTAATAGAAGTGAGTCAACCGTCAATACAACGCCACTACGGGTCACTATATAGGTACCTTAGGTTTCTCATTTTTCTCTAGATTATTTGTTACCTACATTTTAGTTTGAACAAAGAACATTTTAATGTTAAGTCTAAATTTCGGTGTTTCCGTTCTCCTTGTTTACACATTACTTGTACAGATACAGCAACCCCAGGGAATGTTTGCTTTGCGTATGGTACTATTAGCTCAACAATCGATAAGTTTATATCACTAGTATAATCTATGCACTAACTTGTTATCAAACATGGTGTCTGTTAATGAATGTTGTTTCCTTTATGTTGTTCTGGTACTATCGCGCTAACAAAAGGGAGGTCAATAGGTCACTATTGTTCGATTATTAAAATACAGGAGCGTAATGAAAATAAACACAACGGATGTAAGTACAATGAGCACTGTTTCCCGGGTAATTTAAAATATTTTCATTTAGTATTCACGTTCCTTCTTTAACTCTGATATTTGTTATGGTTGATCATAGGACATTCTTATTTGTTCATGTATTCTATTTATTTGATCAAATTGCCACAAATTTCTTCAAAATGGTTACAGTAGTTGGAGCGTATTAACTACTAAAATTTAATCTACGTAATAAATATACAAATATAACTTCAGAAAGATCAATAGAAATGAAAAATGTTTTAAGAAACTCATCTTTTTGTAATTTTACTTTGAAGTAATTGAAAACACAACACCTAGGGCTCCGTACCCAAGCGGGTCCCTATTACTAAGAGTCCACTGTCGGTCTGTCTGTTACCAGGCTTTATCTTATGACCGCAATTGATAGACATTTTACTAAATGATGTATTTTTGTTGTGTCTATATTTAAATAAATGGGTTTTGTTTTTTTTTTTATTAAATCACATTATTTAATGTGTTCTAATAATTATTTTAACCGTACGAAACCGTTCCTATCAGTTATTATTAATATTACTGTCCGTTTGTTAGTTTTCCGACTTTTGTATATATATATATATATATATACGTTAATAGTGAACTGGTATCTCGTATTGTAACGATCCTTCAGTGACCCGATTACAATTATCTTCGGCAGACATCGACAATGACTCGTAATTATTCAAGTGATATGTTATCAATTTACTTGTTGTTTATATGTATTAGTTGCGCAGACTTTGCATTTATTATTTTTTCCCATCTCTAATAGCAAATGGCAAAATAGTTGACATAGTTTTTATGAATATTCGTAATAGTACGTTTGGGAAGTCAAGAAAGTCGACCGGCGAACTCAAATCAATTGTATAATTTTAAGCGATAGTAATAAATGAGAGAATGACGAAGTTGTTGACACTAAAACGTAATTATCGTCATGTATGTACAGTGAACCCATACTATCAAATTGTCCTGTTGACGCAAATCGTGCTGTATAAAAACAAGTTACGTAGACAGTAAGCACGAGTACTAAACATATAAAATACTGAACTAGTACAGATTCGCGAGTCCGTAGAAAAAATATATCACTTTCTTCGTGTAATTTTTGTTACCTTGTTTCTGCACTAGATGGCGACAGTTATGTTAAGAGACCTCAGCTTCTCTGGACTAACACTTTTGAGAGCACATTTCGGAACTAGGGAAACGTCGCTGACTATCCAATTCCTAACACCTTCCCACTAGTTGTAGTCAATTTGTATCTAGTATACTCACAAAGTCATGTTTATTATTATAACAAAAAGGAAAGATTTTATTGTTTGTTTGTATAGAGTAATCGGTCTAGTCGTCGTAGTAATTTTTAAAATTCATCCATTTACGAGCAGCCACATCCTGCGAGGGTGGCATAATTTTATAAATTGAAGAGGTTATAATTTACGCGGAAGAAGTCGCGGGGAACAGCAAGTAAGAAAAATTTTATAAACAATTAATAATTATTCTGTGACATTTTCCTTGTAAATTAACTTTTTCGTACTAACTGTTGTCACGATAAAATAAATCAAAGTTCTCTTGACCCATTGTATAAAGTTGAATACGTAATTAAGCGGCAATATTTTTTGTGAATCTATATTGACTTTTAAACTACTGGGAAGTTTGGTGTTTAAAAAAGTACATGATTATTTCCATTCCTTTGTATGAATAACGAGATGTGCTGTTTCAAATGGTTCCAATTTCAAACCACTCAAAGAATAACTACAGCTACTTGCTTGTAGATTACTTAACTTACTTAATTAGTTTTTGTTGACTACAAAAAGCGTTATTTCCTATCTTCAAATCTTTGTCACGCAGATACTTAACATAAAAAATCGTGCTATGTATCTATTCGGTACTATTGGAATTACTACGGTAATTCCAACAGCAAAATTTATGTAATGTTCAGATGATCCTCGAACTCAGAGGTGTCGCAGCATAGGGGTTTAATCAAATTAGAATTTTATTGCACTTTGAAGTAAGTTCGACTGAACCTTTACGCTTGACAGCGCCGAGTTCGAAGTCGAGATCGTCGCCCAATTATTTACAGAAAAGCACTGTAGATAATGAAAGGGCTTATAACCTTCCGCTAGAAGTCGATACTTGCAAAACGACTTTAATAAAGTATAAAATATTTCATGAATTATTTTAAACCAATATTTAATTGAATTATTTTAAAACAAACTTTCATAAACGGAAATAGAATCGCTGCGTTATTCTCTTTTAGTGATATAATACAAATATAATCTACAAGACTAAAAAAAACATTATGTAATTATGTAATAAAACACAATTTACATATCAAATTTATTTTTATTATAGAAATATAACGTTACAAAAGCAACTCTTCTTCACTGTCAGAATCTTCTAACAGGGTGTGACAATGAACATTGAGATTGAAATATCCTGATATCTAATTTATTTTTTAACCCAGAGACGTCGTTCGTCTTTCTAATCATCTTTAAATCTCTCTCATCATGTTTTCTTTGACCTTACCTATAATTATAAAAATGCCTGCCCTTCCACTCCTGAAAAAGATAGTAACTACCGAGAAATGTTGTCCAGAGGTTTTTAAGTATGTTTGTCATTGGAAAGCTCTTTTGAAAACCTCTTTTTTTTAACGGACTTTCGGTCAGTTGCACAAACGTCCATAAAGATTTAATGACGCCCGTTAGCTCTAATGAATGTCAAAATTGTATGGGTATTGTTACTTTAAACTAAGGAAATTTTAATGGATGTTTGTGCAACAGGCTGTTCAAAATCCAAATGGAGAAATTTTATGTTCGACGATTATGCCAATTTTTATATATGGTCATTGATTTCTCTGCGAATTGTTAACCAATTTATATCAAATATGAACTGAATTGATTGTCTTGGTAATTAAACCTTCAGGACTCCCTTATGTTTACATCAAGTTTTTACAAGATGTGTGTTTAATATTTTTAGTGATGCCTATTCAAAAAGTATACTTGTATATAACTATCAGTAAAAATAATGACTTAAATTAAGAAACCTTCGTTACTTTCCTGATATAAAGTTGACGATAGTAAATTTTGATACCTTACTAACTTAAACTTATTTCTTTATTTCCAGGGCATCACTTGGGGTCGAGCATTCCTAGTAGCAGCAGAAGACAAAGCTGCCCTACCTTACCTCTCGACAAGAGAATGCCAACTGGGAGGTTACAGAACATATACGGTCAACTTCCACCCGCGTCCCTCATTCTTCCAAACCAGCTCTTATCACAACAGCATCAGTATACCAGACAGAAAAAACGCCCTATTGTACATCGCCGTGCCCGGCAACAGGCATTGGTTGGGCGCTGCACCGTTGCCAGATATAGCTAAGCAAATTCTAGAATGTCGAGGTCCGTCTGGACCGAACGTAGAATACCTTTTGAAACTAGCCGATTTTATGAGGGATGAAATCCCAGAAGCGTTAGACGAACACTTGTTTTCTTTAGAGAGGCTTGTTAGAAAATTTGCGGCAGATATGAAGGTGTGCTTGAAAAGTCTCACCGGAGATACTTCAGAGGAAACTAGAAGGGAAGAGAGGCAAGAGCCTAAGGCGGTCGTGCCTAGCTTCCAGTTCGCCTCGAGAGTGCCGGAGAAGAAGTTGCGTTGCGTGAATATGTGATAACAGAGTTTTTTGCAGTTAAGGCTTACTTCCATTTTATACTGAGATGACATGTGACAAACAGATGATGCTGAACAAATTCCTACTTACTTATTATCTACCGGAGTATTGACTGAATATTATATAGGGTGGCGATTCACCTGCTATGTAGTATTTGAATGAGTGAATCTGAATCAATGTGCCGAACCTTTCGCACCGTAAACAGCATATTTTTTTTGTAATATTAATGCATATTGTGTCCACTCGTTATAAAAGGGTGCAGACTGTTGGCAAAATTTGTGACTTCGCGTTCATAAAATATAACTGTAAAATAAAGATGTCCATTGACTTCTTAAAATATTGTGGGTGATTATCCATTCTGTATTGGTATAGAGATTGTGTTTTATGCCAAAGAAACCGACCGAGAATATAAATATAAATTGCTTGACAACAATTCGATACATGTCTCTAAGAAATCTCTATATCTTTATTTAATAAGTGATTCAACGAATCATTTTAATAATATGTGAAGTAAAAAATTCCGACTTCTTTTTAAGTAGAATTGCATTCTATTTGAATTGTGACATAGAAAAAAATCTGTAAACTTATCTTCTCCACACGGAGAAGAAATTCAGAAAGGTATTTATTTTATTTCCTCTTTCTCTAATTACAATTTCGTCTTTGACAATAAAATTAATAAATAAATGATATAATTTCGACAAACTGGCGATCTATAGTTATCTTATTATATCCGACTCATTGCTCCGTCTCATAGATAACGCATATACCGTCTGAACAATTTTCTTAAAAAGGAGAATATAGTTTTGGTCTCACGTATCAATGTAATGTAGTTTGACTGAAACATGAAGTGACAGATCAAGTTCACGACTTTTATGTATTCTAATTATCTGGAAAGTATATATTTTACATGACTGGATATGTGTATTTAAAATGTCGGATATTGTCGGAAATGCTTCATTTTTTATTGAGAAAGTTAGTTGCTTTGTTTTTTAAATATATAGGTACTATTGTTTTGATTTCATAATACACTATAAATCTATTTATTTCTTTGTTAATAATAAAATAGAGTAAGAATAATAAAGTTTTCTAACGGCATTTTGCAATGGCAGACAGCTAGACACATAAAAAATTTCACCAAAAACAATGAAATCGACAAGTATTATGTTCCGAATTTAGACTTAAGACAAAAACTGTGTGATTAATAATATACAATGATTTTATTAAAAAAAAAAAATAGTTTAGATAATATTATTTTATTAACAACATTGATAATTTTAATAGATAAATATAAACAAGAACATTGAAAACAAGTGATTAGATCACAGTGATGTATAATGTAAGATGTGTATTATTATGTACAGCTGTTGGTCACTCAAATGAGTAGTTATGTATTGACCATCACTAGTGAATATTGGTAAATAATGAGATTATGATTAATGATTATTTATACTTATATTTTTTATAATATTGACAACACGTCCTTGATTTATAATTTTGAGACCACAACATAATATAAGCTATAATAAAAATATATTTAATAATTTTAACATAATATTTGTATAGCCTTTTATAACGTAGGTATTGAATTCATCGACAGAAATTTGTCGCTAAAGTATCCAACTTTGTGAGGTCATTTTAAATCAAGAGTCGTCGTAAATAGTATAGCTTTTATAAGACAACTTGTATGCTTCAAGCTCAAGACGATGGTTAAAATATTATATCCTAACTGAGCAAATGAAATAAACGTAATATCTGTTTAAATTGTTGTTTTTTTTATTGTCATAATTTTACGTATAAATATAAAAATTGTACGTTGTGGTTTAAAATGGTAATAAAACATACTGGCCACTGGTGTACATCACAGTGTACACGGTATACACCACGTATACACACTCACATGGTACACATACACACATGGTATGCACACAAGTCGTGGAAAATTTGACGGTTGTACGATTGATGCGACGTTGTGTGATTCTGGAAGGATCTAGATCTGGATTCTTGATTGTTTCGTTGACGTGATAAGTTTCATTATAAAAATTTAATTTAAGCTAACTAGGAATAATTAAAATGAAACTCATTTATAGTTTCAATATAATGGTCCATATATTCTCATAAAGAATAAATCACAATGCATTAGTTTTTATTTTACACAATATAACAGACATGGAGTATTAACGATCGAATATTTCACTTATCTAAGCTAGAATGTAATTAATTTTCATCATCATTTTATTACACAATTTTATTAATATTGTTCTCTTTAAATACTGTAGTGATCTAATTGGTAAAATTGCATTTCATATTTGGTGTTTTCTTATTTACTAAAAGAATGACAATTAACTACCTATGTTAAAATATAGGTTCGATCTATGCGACCAGTAACAATTGAAGAAAACCGTAGACACGCCATAAGAGCTCAACAATATATAACAAATTTCTATCCGTCGTACAGCTGTGGGTTTGTACATTAAAAAGGTAAATATTGAACTTGTGTATTAGAAATACTGACTCGCATCACGGTATATGTTATCATCTATGAATTTTATCAATAATTATTTATTATAAGGTGAGTAAAGCGTTGATACTTAAAGAGTGTATATCTGAAACGCGACGTGAGCCGATGGGTATAATACCCGATTTTATGATTGAGAATTTAAAGTTAAAACCATCTCAAACTGCACTTACACGTCACTTTTACAGTTTGATATTCTGAATTTTTTATTTGTAAAAGGTAAAAAACATAAGTTATTCAGTTCAGATTTTGTACTTTTCTCAATTCAGACACCGGAAGTTAAGCTACACGAGAGAAATAATTAATACTTACTCGACAGGAAAAACTTGTCAACAGTGTACATTTTTTTTCCTATGGTTAATAACATCAAAAAACATGTTTACCAAGAAAATATATTTTTCCTAATTTCATATTTAAATATTAAAATTGATAATTTAATTAAACGTAGGCATATTGACAAAAATATTCATCAACCTCCGTGTACAATATAAGAAGCAGAAGTGTTTACAGATATTTTTTTATCATTAGTGGAAGAAAGTTAAAAAAAAGGAAGAAAAGAATTTGAATACGACATCGTAACGATCACAATATTAAATTTTGAGCACTGATTACATTTTTTTCCTGTATTATAATTTGTAGGTACCACACTTACGAGCTAAAATGTAAAATCACTGACAATCGTATCTATAGTCGAATAAAAGTAATAACTTGACTATGAATAATGACTTTAAAATTTTTTTAAGTCAATATATGAGAATTTAAATGGAGTAGTAGTAGTAGTGGTAGTAACATCAAATATAACTCTTACTTTTGAGATTTCTTATTTCATTTAAATTCATGATTATATTCTAAACGTATATATTTTGCTCAAGGCATTACTTCTACTGGACTATATAAGTGCGAGTCTTTCTTTTTCATTGCAAAGAGCCAGGTTTGCGTAAAAACTATTGGTCTGCATACAGTCACAGTCAGACAACTAACCGTTCCGAATAGAGTATGGTGAATATGAGGTGTAATACATATTATTATATGCTAGGACTTAATGGATTGGATTAGTATTTACGAAAAAATACAAAATTGTATTTGTTGACAGTATGAAACAGCAGATAATTTTTCAGGAACTCAACAGGTATACTTAACTAATCCACCAACGAAGTCCTGGCGTGTAACAATATTACACTTTACAGACATGATAAGAATTTGAAAAGATACACTAATTCAAAAATAAACCAGAGAATGGGTCATACAATATTATTACAACCTAAAATTAGGAATAAATAAGAATATGCAAAAAACCGAACACAATTGAAATTTTGATTATTTAGGTAGATCCCATTTTAGTTTCATGTTTTAATTATTACGTTTTAAAAATTGAAATGAAAATGTTTGATAAACATGGCGTCAACTAATTTAACAAACCTTACATAAATATTAATTTGCCAGTCCAAGGTCTTCTTATCTGTTTCACGTTTGTATAAAATAAGTTTTATATAGAATATCAATTGTACTATATTCGCAGTGTTCGTTGCTACGTGAAACTGCGTGTGATGCGAGAGCCTGCAATATATATGTAGAATAACCATAATATTTCATTTGAAGAAAACTGGCCTTTGTATGTGATTTTCAATCGTGGCTTGATAAAATTTTATAAATTACTTTCTATTTTGTCACTAAGATGAATAATCATTAAAACTTTTTTATTAAATTAACAAATAAATGGAATGTTTTAGCTGAGTTTTTTAAGCGAAAAGAGTTATAAATAGATTATTATTATAGCTTGAACTATATTAGATAGGTACTTGGATTTAATTCCAAGGTAAGGAGATTACCTACCTTAGAAGTTGAAAAATTCACACATTATTTACTCGTGTTTTCTGTGTTTGTTCGATAATATTATATATATACTATTATATTAAATAAAGTAATTAAAACGTATGTATGATGATAAAAGCTCTAAGTGAATCATTGATGATTGGTATTTTTGTTTTGTGTAATAATTTCCGAGTCAAAAGGGAATTATATATTTTATTTATAAACGAAAGGGCGACTGGACAAGACTGATGACGCTACGCTCACGTACTGTGTGAAGTATAATAAATACTAAAAGTAAAAGTAACATTCAAAAAAAATATTTTCTTTGTGTATCGAAATAAAATGTAACTGCTTATCAAAAGTCATAAAACAAAGCAATTTTATTTATGATGTTGCTGTCTAGTCAGATAACCCTGTATATAATAATACATTAATGATATGTAGTTACTTATAATTTTATTAATATTTATTTCAGAAAAAGCCACGATTGTATAAACTATTTTAGGTAACATTTGAGAACATAATAATTATTATGATAAGCGTGTATAATAATGTGTTATACATAAATATAATAGTTCTAATATCCATGTTTGCACCAAAACTTTGTGATTAGAAGGTAACTAACAATCGTTATAATAACTTGATAGAGATTACAGAGTCCACTAACCTAATTCTTAAAATAAATTATTTACAAAAAATATGTTCATTTGTGATATTTGGCTTGTATTGTTCCATATCAAGAAACAATATTATTTGAAGTGTTTCATACGAATATAATAAAATTTTGTTTATCTATTATTCTCTTATTTACAATATCGCGCATGTATTTATTTTACTGCGATTTTTTTATAAAGTATTTTCAATATAATATTATTTTAATAATTTACTAATATTTTTATATTCAATATAGCGATAAAGTTTGAAGACATCAAAAATATTTTTATCCCAATGCTACTATTATTAATATATAACATAATATATTAGTGTGTTGATGATTGTATTTAGGTAATATAATTTTTTATGAAACACTCCAAAGTGACGATAACTAATACTAAATTTAAAATTGTGATGTTCATAATTTCTATTATTATGTACAGCAATCAGACTTTTTACAATAAACCACACATCAGCATTTGCAAATACCAACATTAATTATACACACACGATGTATATCATTAATAAATTGCTTTCATTATCTTATATCAATAATTATTGAAACTTATTTGTTTTTTTTGTCTATAATATAATTTAATACTATGTTCCTGAACACAGGACAGGTACGGTATTAATGTGCTTAATTGAATGTTATATGTTACAGTATGACTAGTGATATGCACGAGAACCTTACATAGGATATGGTAAATCAGATAATATCCATTACAGCAAAGACACAACTAATGTGGCTTACCGATGTACCTGCGCGGGAGGATCAATGTCAACCAATCAAAACAATTCGAGTGTAGCGCGCGATTGGACGATTCGCGCAACCTATCCTCCGTCGAATGTTAGTTCTATAGCCGAGAAAAGCAGCAAATATTTTTAACCAATAGATGAGAATTTGAATCAAGTAAGAACTGTTAATAACTAATAAAAATAGTAGTATAACTATTAACAGTCCCTTATTCATTAAAATTCTTGTTTACTGAGTTCTTAAATTATGACATATTCTCAAATAATTACTACTCTATACTGTAAATACGAGTATGAGATGGAAACCCAACGCTCAGTATTTTACACCTTATGCTTAATAAATCAAGACATTATAACCATATCATCGTCGGAATTGTTAGATCCACTCTACGCAAACGA